AAGCTATGAATTACACAATATAATGTCTATTGTGTTTGTGCCCCGGTACAGGGCAGTACTGTATGTCATCACAGAAAGGAAATAAATATCATGCACTTCGTTGACTGTGATCAGCGTAAAAACAAATCAGGAGTCCCAGCTCAGAACTAATACAACAAACAGTGGTCTGTGACTGAGGAAAAGGTGTATCATTATCTGATGGATGTCTTCTTTAAAGCAGGTGAAGCCAAAACCAAGGAGCTTGTTTTCACAACGTGACAATGCTGGACTCTGTGGGACTGAGCTTTGTGGTGCTGCTCTCAGCAACGGGAGCAGTGACAGTAGACAGATGAGTTTTACTGCACTTCAAACTAACAAGAACAAATCTAGAGAGTTAGTATTGAGTGGCTGATTAATTGATTGCATGATTGACAAAAGATTAACTGGCAGCTATTTAAATAATCAGTTAATTATTTATGTCAAAATTGCCAAACATTCTCCAGTTCTTGCTTTGGAGAGTAATAGTAATCAATTAATTGAGAAAATATTTGACAGATCTATCTGTATACTGGTCAATATTTTAAATGCACTTATTTACAATTTAGCCAAGAGTTAGAGGGGAACATTTAGATCACACTCACTTTCACTCATTGATTCAGTTATTCTTACAGGTAGGACACGGGGTGTATTAAAAGGGGGAAGGGGGCCCGATATGGCTGCATATGTACAGTGTCATACTTTTGTCCTACATCCCTGGGTAGGCTCACCGCTTCTCGTGTATTTACTGTGTATGTATTTGTGTGCAACAGAGTGGAGTACGACTACTACAAATACCATCCAATGTCAGAGGTGAGTAAGCCTAATCACGGTTCACACATGTTAACTGAACAGATCACTACACACACACACACACACACACACAAACACAAACACTGATGTGGAACGATGCTCTGCAGATCACCAACTGGATGGTTCAGATTGCTGAGAATCACTCTGATGTTGTGACCATTGTAAACTATGGACAGACTTATGAGAAGAGGACGATTAGCTTACTCAAGGTAATCCAATTTTTTCATTGTTTATTTCAGATCATAAATTAGGAACTAAGATACCAGAGCGTGCTGATAGTTTTGGTTTGGTGTATGTTTGAATTTGTCCTCCAGATTGGCCTGAATACTGACTGGAAAAAGAAAGCTGTGTGGATGGACTGTGGTATACATGCACGGGAATGGATTTCTCCAGCCTTCTGTCAGTACTTTGTCAGGCAGGTAAGAGACAGGTCATTAAAAATGATGGGGACAGTTCAGTGGGTAGAGCAGTCATCTCCCAACCAGAGGGTTGGAGGTTTGAATCTCGGTGCCTGCAGTCCACATGTCGACGTGTCCTTGGGCAAGACACTGAACCCCCAAGTTACCCCCGATGGTTAGAGCCATCGGTGTGAGTTGGTGCTAAAAAATGGCTGCCTTGGTTCTGTGCCACAAACAAACTCCTTGTGTGTGTAACATACTTGGCCAAATAAAAGTGATTTTTATTTAACCACCAGTTCATATATACTGTATGTCCTCCAACGTTGAAGCAGAGATCTTGACATTTAGTGCAAACATGTTGGATCATACATATCAACCTGACCCACATGTTTTTGCTTGTTCCATCAAATCAGATCCTGCAAACATACAAAACAGACCCAAAAATTGAAGAGATGAAGAACATGGACTTCTATGTTACTCCTGTGCTCAACGTGGATGGCTACATCTACTCCTGGAAGGACAACACAGTCAGTCAGCATATTATCTAATTACTTTTTAAGATTCAGTGCTTTAGCTCCAAGCTCTCGAGCCACAGATGAACAGGATATGAGAAAATCATAGTCTATTTAAACAAACTGAGCTACAATTCAATCAGTGAATAAATGTATTTCTGATGCCCAGTATGCCCCAAACTCTAAATCATTTCATTTTCAAAACAAGCTGAATGGGGAAACTAACATCAAACACTAATCCAAGGCAGCATTTAAACCTGTGGAGAAATGTCAAGGGCCCGTTTTATTTATTTACTAAATGGTAGAATGATTAGAACCAGCTGATTTAACCGACTGACCGTTCTGACCCGTTCAGACTCGACTGAGGAGGAAGAACAGATCACCAGGACCTTCAGACTGTGACTGTTATGGCACCGATCTCAACCACAACTTTGACGCCTACTGGAGCAGTAAGTCTTGTGACAGTTCATTACAGTCATATATAGTATTAAAACACTATACTGTTTATATAGTCCTTTCTTTTGATAGCAACAGATTAGTATGTACCTGACTCTTTTTACGAGATCTTCCCAAAGCTCCTACATTATTTCATTTAAAGGAGGAGTCCAGTGATTTAGTAGAGCACTCAAAATTGAAGCAGAGATCTTGACATTTAGTGCAAACATGTTGGATCATACAATTCCCACAATGCAACCTGGTACCATCTTTCATTAACCCCTTCCTGTCTGGTACTACATAGCAACTGAATGCTCCCTTAACATGTAAAAAGGTGAACTTGCGTGCCCATGTTATAGAAGAAGTCATGTTATTACTATATTACATTCTGTTTTTTTTTTTTATCTTTGGCTGCTTTCACAGCAATTGGAGCATCATTTAACTGCTGCTCAAGGACCTTCTGTGGGAGCAGCGCTTTGTCTGAGCCTGAGGCCCAGGCTGTAACCTACTTTGTAGGAACCCGCAAAGACCACTTCCTGTGTTTCTTCACCATCCACTCCTACAGCCAGCTCCTCCTGATTCCCTATGGAAACCCCAATTTCACCGCCCCCAACTACGATGAGCTGGTATTTACATCACCAAACACAGTAATATCACATCTCAGGATAAACGGTGCTCATGCATCTGTAGAGCCTGATTAGGTTTGTCACTGCATGCTTCTAGATCAGTAAAAAGGATGTGCCACATACTGCCATAGAAACTGAGCGTATGTCGTTGATAAAAACCAACAGTAAATGAAACAGTCTGTGAATAACATTCCAGTAAACACCTTAATAATAATTTGTTTCACGGTTTTGGATTTAATATTGTTTGCTGGATTTACAGCGCAGTAGAGTGGTGCATGGCAAAGTGCAGTAGGACTTAACACAGTGTATACAAATCATACACATAACAGATTATATCATTTACATAGTCAGCATCCGTGAGCAGTCGGTCCTCGGCTGCCAGGGCAGAACAGAACGGGGGAGGCTGTGAAACACTGATAGTGGAAAATGAAGGGCTGGCTGTTGTTAGGAGGGAGGCTGATGCAGGCAACAGCCCACTGGAAACATCAACCAGAGAGAATTATGCATTCAAACTACACCGTGGTTCTTCAGCTTGGCAGGATGCAGAGTCTTGTTTATGACAAAGTTTTCAATTATGGATCTCAAATAAATAAAACTGACATGAATGATGAACACCGAGACTAAAATAGATACAAGAAGATCCTGTCAGGACTTCTTATTTAGACTGGCAAAGTTCTCACTCAATTTGAGTAGACAGACTGACCAATACTGGATTTTTAAGGTGGATGCTGATATCAATTTGATGCAATAAAGATGTATCACTTTTAAAACATAAACAATGTAGATGCAAATCTCTTCCATACTGAATAGCACATTTAACCGTTGAAAAATAAAATTGTTCTCTGGTGGACAAACTAAATGACCTCTTTCGCAGTTCTGTACTGCAGTTTCTACTGCAGTGAATTATTGGGCTCTAGACACCAAAAGAAATATACTGTATTAGCAAGATAATAGCAGCCAGTGGCTAATATCAGCCAATAAATTGTGTATGTGCACCTCCAAATTAATGTGCAATTAGAAGGGTATCTGGCAACTGAGAGTCTAACCATCAATGTTTACACTGTAGTAACTTAGCAGGGTCTAAATGCTCCTTCTGATTGATTTCAAGTTTCAAATCAAAATATACATTAAACAGTTCACTGTTCATTTGCACAAGACAGTTTTTGAAGTTCAGTTTTGAAATTCCTTTAACCAAGTCTGCAACGTTTAATATCAAAACTGTCATTTTCTGAACAAGATGTAGCTTCATTCATGTCGAGCCGCAGAGGTTCCAACCGTGTTATCATGACGAGAGCTGAAAAATCAGCAAAACTCCAAAGTACTGTTGGCCTTTTGTTTCAGACAGGATGAGTCTTTGGCTGCTCTGGATATTTGCACTTCTCAGTGAGTGTCTGAGAGAAGCTAATGTGTGCTTCCTCAGATGAAGGTGGGTCTGGCTGCAGCAAATGAAATTAAGAAGGTCCATGGGATGAACTACACTGTAGGAACCTCGCCAGATATACTGTGTAAGTACACACATGCCTGCTGATCACAGACAATGGTTTACTGGTTTTAATTTGAGTATGAGGGAAAGTGTGACTATTAGGTTTAAATGATTAGATTATTGAGTAGTTTACATAAGACAAAATATAAATATGTAAGCTCCTTTTACAGATGCCAACTCTGGTACATCTAGTGACTGGGCCGGGCTGCAAGGGATCCCTTTCGTCTATACCTTTGAGCTGACAGATAACGGGACTTCGGCTTTGAGCTTCCTGAGGATCAGATCCAGCCGACCTGTGAGGAGGCCTATAGAGGAGCCCTCCACGTCATCACCTCTGCCCACGATAACACTTTCAATGGTGCTGTGGACGCCACTTTCACAACCCTGTGGACCCTTCTGTTAGCAGTGGGTGTCACCACCAGCACCACCCTGTTGTGAGGTGGAGAAGGAAACTTCTGTTCAATAAGTAACAATGCATGCTTGTTTTTTCTTATTATATTATAAAACTGTAGTAAAGTGTCTGAAAGAGCTGAAATGTTCTTCCATATCTGTCATATTACAGTGGTAGTCTAATGTCCAGTGCATTAGACTATTTATTTTCATCACTAAATATTACCTGGGACTAAAGAGCATGAATAATGTTGCCATACAGAATAAAAAATTCAAATAAATTATATTTTTTGTGTTCATGTGTCTTTTAAACTGTGTTTGCGTCGTCCATTTTATTTACACTCTTATGCTTAAAATCTAAATAAAATCACAGTATACTAGTCTTTTAGTCATTCATTCCAAAAATAGAAAAGACATTCAATTACAGCATGTGGTGTAACAGAAAAACATGACTCCTGAAAAGCAAGAAAGGGAAGAGGTATCATATAACTTCCTGTGAGGAAAGAAAGAAGCTTCTCTCTGTGTAACAGGCAACTTCAGGGCTGAGTTTCAGTGTTTGTCTCTGTGTTTCTGAATGGATGGAAGCCTTGTTGTCTCAGACCAGCCAAAGGCAAGAACAGCTGCTCCTCAGGAGGAAACTGGTCCCAGTGTGTCCATGTCCAGCCTGGGAGGGACAGAACCACAGATGCTTAGAGGGAGAGAAATGATTATTTCCCCCATTTAAAACTTAAGAGTAGCTCCACTTAACATACTGTACCTTCATTCTTTTCTGGCTCCAGGTTCTCTGGCTCTCCTGACTGCTTTCTGTCCAATTCCCCTTGCATGATAATGGTGACGTAGTGGTACTGCTCCTCCTGTCTGATGGAGTTCACTACTGACGCAAAGCAGACGTTCACCAAACGCACCCCTGCTTCCTCCAGCACCTCTCTATGAGCACACTCCTCCCACGTCTCTCTTTCAGGAACAGAGTGAAAGTGTCACATCAGGTCTTTCTCTCACCATTTCACATGACATGGAAAGATAGATGTAGCCTACTGTAAACTGAGGAACGTAGTTACATTACTTTCCCTCCACTTCTCAAATGACCTTTCCTTCCAAGTACCTGTCTTTAGTGGATCTTAAAGAATCTCGAATGTATTACCAGGCTTCACTACCATAAACCAAATTGCATTTAAAAATATTACGAATTAGTATGTGCGCGCACGTAGATGACAGGCAGTTGTAACGATGCAAATTGAGAATATGTATCAATATTTATTAAGCATTTCGGGAGAATTCGGCATAATAACAACTGATCCAAAAGTACTTATTTCACTGTAATTTACATTATAATAACAAGAAAACATCTTGAAAAGAATCGTGTGTTTTGTTACAAGAAGAAATTTGCTTACTAATATGAATAAAGCAACATTCACAATAGGCCATACGTCACATATATATACTAGTAAACAGGGTCATATTTATGGTTTAGTTTACCATTTACCTACCCAAACTCCAAGTGACCACCGGGAAGCTGGTACGTCCCTTTTCCCATTACACTCCTACGTTTTCCCAGGAGAACACATCCGGGATGGAATGGGTCCGTTACCAGCACCCCGACCCCAACTCCTGGGCGTTTCACGGTTTTATTTGGCATCTGGACAAACTCGAAATCAACTCATAAATGTTTAGCAAATAAAGCTTGCTAAACAAACCTCTTCTCAACTCCGCTGTGCTACACCGAAGAGGAAATGCCCCGGTGCACCAAGAGGTTTCAGTTCTGTATACTTCCGGGTTCGCTTAAAATAGGTTTAAATGATTAGATTATAGCATAATCTATAGCCTTGTCAAAAATAGCCTGCCTAACACCAAGAGTCATGAATAATGTTCCCATTAAGAATCAAACATCCAAAAAGCGAAATTTGCATATCTATCTATCTATCTATCAATCAATCAATCAAGAAAGAAATAAATCAATCAATCAAGAAAGAAATCAATCAAGAAATCAATCAATCAATCAAGAAAGAAATCAAGAAAGAAATCAAGAAAGAAATCAATCAAGAAATCAAAAAATCAATCAAGAAATCAATAAAGAAATAAATCAAAGAAATCAAGAAAAAAATCGATCAAGAAATCAATCAATCAATCAAG